CAGCCCGGTGGGGTCCACAGACGCCCTGGAGGAGGTGAGGGTGGGTGTCCAGACTCCTTGACTCCTGACCTTTCCCAGGCCTGCCTCTCCTGTCCACGCATACTCTCACCAAGCCCCCTTCCCTGGCCCGATGCCATCTGCCCGCCCCCCAGGAATGAAGTGGTCACTCGCCCCCCAGGAGCCCTTCTTGCAATTTTGCCCCCTCCACACCCTAAGAAGTGGCCCCTGAGAGTCTGTCCCCCAAAACTGGAATCAGTGCTGCTGTGTTCCGGCTGGAGATGGAGGTGAACTGGGAGGACCGCCCGCAGTGGGGGCCCTAGCAGAGCCTTCAGCAGGGAGGCCTGGCGGTGTGACTCGCTGGCTGCGCCAGAGGCTGCAGGCTTCACCTCCTGTCAGGGCGTGTGCGGGGTGCAGCCTCCGATCCCCAGCAGGGAACGTGCAGGAGGCATTGATGGATCCATCAGTGTTTCTCTCTCTGCCTCCCTTTCTCTCTCTTTAGAATAAAATTTTAAAATACATATATATATTTCAGAGAGGGAGGGAAAGGGACAAAGAGATTGAAACATCAATGATGAGCCCTAACTGGTTTGGCTCAGTGGATAGAGCGTCGACCTGTGGACTAAAGGGTCCCAGGTTCGATTCTGATTAAGGGCATGTACATTGGTTGCGGGCATATATCTATCCCCAGTGGGGGGTGTGCAGGAGGCAGCTGGTCGATGTTTCTCTCTCATCGATGTTTCTATCTCTCTCTCCCTCTTCCTTCCTCTCTGTACAAAATCAATAAAATACATTTAAAAAAAGATTAAAAATAAATAAAAAGAAACATCAATGATGAAAGAGAATCATTGATCAGCTGCCTCCTGCGTGCCCCCTACTGGGGACTGAGCCTGCAACCTGGACATGTGCTCTTGACCAGAATCGAACCCAGGACCCTTCCATCCACAGGCTGATGCTCTATCCACTGAGCCAAACCGGCTAGGACTAAAAATATTTTTTAAAAAGAAGCCCTTGGGCCTTTGGACAGGATGAGCTTGGGGTAACCCGTCCCTGTGGTCCCGTCCCCTGTGGGAAGGAGACTCAGGCCCACTCTTGCAAGCCCAGCCCCAGGTGGGGACAAAGGGCCATCGCCCAGGGTCACACCTTCCGTCCTCAGGGTCAGAGGGATAAAGTTACCTCTCTTCCGGTGGGCAGGTCTGCGTGTCACACACAGCGCACTGCATCGTCACCTGGCCACGGCCTTTGTAACACTGTGGCCTCTGCCTCCTTCCTCCTCTTTCTCCAAGTAACACAGTAACTCACTCTGAGTCCCTCCGGTCAGCCACACCCACATTTCTGGACCTGGCTTCCCCCCCACCCCCAGCAGTGTTGGGCTGGGCCTGGGTGCCCACAGCGCCTGCCTGCTCCTCACCAGCTGCTGGGGTAACATCCGAGCCCTCCAGGCCTGGCACCAGGGCCCCAGACCCTGAGGGGAGCAGAGGGGCCTCACGCGCCAGGTGGGGGCCTGTCCCAGCTGTCAGCACCCATGATGGATGAGGAGCGGGGCAGGGAGCAGGCCAAGGGCTGGCCTCCCGCTGCAGAGGGAGGTGGGGGCTGGCCCCTGGGGTGTGCCCACCGGGCCTCTGTCACTCGCAGCAGGGGGGCCTGGGTGAGGGTGTTTAAAGGCCCGAGGGGTGTGTGCCCTCCCACTCTGCCAGCAATCATGGGCACCCGGGCCTTCCCCGCGGCCCTCTTCCTGCTCTGCCTGACTTCTGAAAGCCTCCAGGGCGGTGAGGGCAGGCAGCTACGGGGTCTGGGCAGCTGGGGTTGGAGCTGGGGGTGTAGGAAGAGCATCGGGTCTGAGGCTGGGGCTCCAGGGCGGGAGGATTGGGTGTGTGAAGTCTGGGTTTGGGGGGTGTTGGGGTATATATGCATGGGTCCTGCCCCTGGGTCCCCACTGAGTCAGCAATCCCTGCTCCCCAGGGCTGCCTTCATTGTCTGCTGGTCTAGGAAAAGGTGAGTGGATCCTCCGGCACTGGGTTCAAGAAGAGGACCTGGTTTCTCTCCTCCACCCCCAGGGGTCATGCTCTCTGGGGGACAGCCCCAGATGCTCCCCAGCTCTGGGATTCGGACGTGGAGCCCAGGAGAGCACAGGGTCCCTCTGTCTTCCTGGCAGTCAGTCTTGTCCAGGGTCAGCTCACGTGTGGAAGCACAGACCCGAGCCCTGAGGACAGAGTGAGATAGGGCAGAATTTCACCTCTGGGCACGAGCACGCTGGAGCCCGGAGGAGGGGCTTGGAGCTGGGTCTGTGAGGGCAGGGGTGGGGTTATAACAGGACTGGGAGGAAATCTCTGGAACCAAGGGGGCCAAAGGCCGGGAGGATGGGAGGAGAGGAGGCTGGAGCTTGGGGAGGGGAGTAGGGGGCTGGGTGTCACAAAAGGGTCTTCATCCAGCAGCCTGTGGCATCGTGTGGGCGGGAGAAAGGGTGCCCTCCAGAGACCTCAGTGTCTAAGCTGCTGGGGAGAAACTCTGAGGGACGGGTGAGGAGGAGGACATTTCCAGGAAAGGATGGGTCCCAGATGCTCCCATAAGAGTGGAGGGAAGAGGTACACAGCCCCCTGAGGAAGAGGGATGGGGGACCTGCCACCAGGCTGTCCCCCTGGTTCTGTCCTTGCTCCTCCTGGGATCAGAGTAGAAAGTGAGTCCCAGGGAGGAGGGGGTGCACTCCTGCTCTGCAGGGTGGGAAGGGAGCATCTGGCCCTCCTTGCCCCTCCTAGTTACCCGCTTCTCCCCGACCTTGCAGGCTTAGGGAGCCGGAATGGCTACAGACCAGGTAAAGCTGGGAGGTGGGCAGCTCTGTATCCTCCCAAAGAGGCCAGAGCACCCAAGCTCCTGGTCCCTCCTGCCCCCTTAGGCCCAACACACCATTTATCCCCCCAGCTAGGCCCCCTCCCCCCCGCCCCCCGCAGTGGCCTGGGAATCGGTAGGGGATGGGTAAATAGGATTTGGGGGCGGGGGCAGCCGTCTCAGAAGCACCTGACATCCCTCAGGCGGAGACGCCCACTGAGACCCCTTCCAGCAGGTGCTCTGCCCCCCACCCACCAGGAATCCATCAAGACGGTTGTGGTGTCATCTAATGCCTGCCCCTCACTGCACGTCCCCTGGGCTTTGTGGGGATGGGGGAGGGTGAAAGGGGCCCCTGGGCCCCTGGCCTGCTCCCTGCATCTCCCCCAGGCTCCTGGGGTATTGAACTTCAGAGCCTGCCCAGCCCCCACTGTCTCTCTTCCTGTCTCCCCATCTTTCTCTCACACCCCTCACTGCTATCTGTCCTCCCAGGATTTGGAGCCAGGAATGGCCTGGGAGCCCAGCCAGGTGAGAGAGATGGAGTCTGGGGTTGGTCCTCTCCCCGCTCCCTCCCAAGCCTCAGGGATGGGGGGGTCAGTGAAGGATTCTGGGGGAAGAGGGGGGGGTTGGGCACCTGCAGGTTTGCTGTTTCTGGCTGGGTCCAGGGATCCTGCACACCCACCCCATCTAGGATCCCAAACCCCCAGATCACCTCCCCCCCCCCATAGGCCCTCCAGCTCAGAGTGGCTACAGCACTGGCGGAGGTGGGCTCCGAGTGTGTTTGGGGGAGCTGGGACCAGTGTCCTAGGGGCATACCTGAAATGGGGTCTCTTCATGTGATTTATCTCCCTCTCAGGCGTCGGAGGGGGCACAAAACCCCACCAGCCAGGTGAGCCCCTGCTTGTCTCCATCTGCATGCCCGACCCTGTGACCCCGTTGTCTCTCCTCCTCGCTGACCCTCCGCCCTGTGTCCTCAGGGTTCGGGACCGGGAACGGGCATGGAGCAGGGGCCTTCCCAGGTGCCGCAGCCCAACCAGGTGAGGGGGCGCGGGGAGAGGGCTGGGTCGGCATTAGGGGTGCTTATCCCAGCCCCCCCCCCCTTCCCCGGGGCAGCACTGGTGACTCATTGGAGGCAGAGGGAAGGACCTACGGGTTCCTGATACCTGGTTTGAGGATAGCAGAGCGGGTACCCCTGCTTCACCCTCACCCCAGCTGGGACCCCAAAATGCCCTGCCCTGCCTCTCAGCTCCGCATGGCCATGGAGCCCTAGGAGGAGACGGCCCCTGGGGTCCCCTCACCTCCCGCATCTCTGTCCTCAGGCTTTGGGAGGGGCGCGAAGCCCCAGAAGCCAGGTGAGCCTCCTCCCCACGCCCCTCCCTCTGGCCGCCTCACACCGGCGGCTCCCTCCCCCCTCCCCCCTCCGGCTGTCTCCCCAGGATAGGGAACCGGCCTGGGCGCGGTGCCTTCCCGGCCCGGGCCCAGCCAGGTGAGGACACCGGGCCCCACCCTGCGGGGCAGAGCTGGGACCCGGAACCAGCAGAGGAGAGTTGGGCTCTTGGGGGAGGATGGCGGGCTCAGCCTCGCCGCTCCTCCTCCGGCCTGGGCAGGAGGGGGGGGGGCGAGGGGGGGCGGGCGGGGGAATGGAGCCTCGGAGGCTCGGTGAGTGCAGAGCCAGCCCCGTCCCGGCTGGTGCACCCCGGTTCCTCTGTGTGCCCCAAACCTGCCCACCTCAGGCTACAGCCCCCACCCCTGTGTCCCAGGATTCGGGAGCCCAAATGGCCTGGGAACCGGCGCTTTTCCGGGGGCAGGATCCTGGCCAGGTGAGGGCGAAGGGGCAGGCAGCGGAGGGGAGGGGGCGGCAGGGTCATGTCTGCATTCCTGAGGGCAGGGGAGGTCAGTGACCTCTGTCTCTGTCTCCTCCTAGGCCTGGGAGGGGGGAAACCTCAGAAGCCAGGTGAGTGGAGGCCAAGCTCTGGCACCATCAGCCTCCCAGGGCCGCTCCCGTCACTAGGCTGGTCTTGCGGGGGTGTGTGTGTGTGTGTGTGTGTGTGTGTGTGTGTGTGTGTTCCCCGACTCCCAGGCCCTTCTCACACGGGCTCCCTGAGAACTGCCAGCGAGGGGGGCACAGAGGTCCTGGGAGAGGACAGCACGGGTGGGAGCCCACACCTTCCCTCTACCCACAGGCCCTGCCCCTCAGAATGGTGGCCAGGTACCAGGTAGGCGATGGGGTGATGGGGTGAGAGCTGGGGGCGCCCGCTTCAGTTTGGGGGGTCAAGGGCACGCCAGGCTCTTCTACCTGGTCCCCGTCTCTTTCTCAGGGGTCGGAGCGGGTGTGAAACCACCAAAGCCAGGTGAGCCCTACCCAGTGCCCAGTGCCCAGGTCCCTGTAGTCCCGTCTTCCATCTGCCCCCCCTGCCCCCTGCCTCTGGCTTAAACTTAGCTCCTCCTGCTCTGCCTCCCAGCATTTGGCAACGGGAATAAGATGGGAGCCCAGGCCTTCCCGGGAGGCGGAGCCCAGCCAGGTGAGACACCTGGGCCACCCTGGGGCCCCAGGAAGGAAGAGGGTGGAGTTGGGGGGTCAGGAGGGCAGAAATAGATTTCCGTGGGGTGGGGTCCACGCGGCTCAGTGGCTCTTGGTCTTCCCCAGGCTTGGGCGGAGGCGGGAAGCAGCAGCCACCAGGTGAGCGAGTGAGCCTGCCCGCCCGCCTGCCCACCTTCTGGATTCTGTCCCTTCCCATCCCAGACCCCTCCTCACACTGCCGCTCCCGCTAGGATCTGGCCCACTGGCTACGCGTCTGGGGGAGAGAGCTCACAGCTCCTTAACCCTGGCTCCCAGCAGTCGGGCTCATTCCTTTCACTCACCCTGAGCCAGGCCCCGCTGGGCACAGCAGACACCTCGGTCAGCCTGCACTGAGCTCACAGGCCCAGAGCTCACAGGCCCAGAGCCATCTCGAGGACGGTGGTCAGGACTGAGGGGGTGGAGCACTCGTGGGAGCTGGAAAGGGAGAAGCAGATCGTGAGGCTGGAAGGGAGCTGGAGGCCTGGGGTTAAGCAGAGAGTGAAAACCCCAGCTCTGGCTTGACTGGTTTGGCTCAGTGGATAGAGTGTTGGTCTGTGGACTCAAGGGTCCCGGGTTCAATTCCGGTCAAGGGCACATGCCTTGGTTGCAGGCACATCCCCAGTGGGGCGTGTGCAGGAGGCAGCTGATCAGTGTTTCTCCTATCGATGTAAAAAAAATCAATAAAACATACTAAAAGAAAATAAAAACCCCAGCTCCGTGAGGCTGATGCTCCCAGCGCTGGGCCCCTGGACATCTGGCCTCGAAGCAAGAAGCAGCGGGAGTTACCACCTGAGAGTGGCCCCACCTGGAGGGCGGCCGTGGGGCGGGGCCTCGGTCCCCCTAGTCCTTCCCTGACACAGGACACAGGCCCCACAGTCACCCACCGCTTTGTGAGTCTGGCCAGGCTGCATGGAGGGCAGGCCAGGGAGGCTGGGCCATTTCCCCGCCAGCAGCGCCCAGCTTTTCTGTGTCCCCTCCCCCTAGCAGGTGTGGCAGCACAGAACGGCTTTGGACCAGGTAGAGGGGCACAGCGGGGGTATGAGGGCGGAAGCAGGCCCAGAGGCGGGACTTCAGGGCCCCTCACCTGCTCTTCTCTCCCCCAGGCTACGGAGGGAATGGAAAGCCCCAGAAGCCAGGTGAGCCCGCTCTGTCTAACGGCTCCTTGTCTGTCTGCTCCACCCAAGTCCCCGCTCTCCCCTCACCCCCTCCTGCTCTGTCTCCCCAGGACTCGGGGCCTTCCCGGGAGCCGGAGTCCAGCCAGGCAAGGTCCTGGGGCTCAGGACCAGGGGTGTTGCGGGGGGTGGGGGGTGTCTGGTGTGGGTGCCTGAGCCCAGTGCTGAGGGAAGAGGAGGGGCGGGTGGACCCGCAGACTCAGGGACAGCGCCTTCTCTCCCTCAGGTCCCGGAGGACTGAAACCTCAGAAGCCAGGTGAGCCCCGCTCCGCCTCTCCCACGCGGTTTCCCACAGAAACACTCTTTGAACAAACATCCAGGGGCCAGCCAGCTGCTGGAGACAGGCCCTCCCAGAGCCTGGGGCATGTGGGCAGGCGGAGGCAGACAGGAAAGGAGTGTGCATGCAACGCAGGGGCCAGGATGCCCACTAGAGGGCGCGGCGCGCTGAGAAGTGCGGACCAGGGAGGGTGCAGGAGCTGGAAAAGGCTGGGAGGCCTTGGGGCAGGGGCACTGCTGAGAGCAGGAGAGGAGGAGGAGGCCTCACGTCCACCCTGCTGGCCGGCTGGCATGGGTGCTGGCAGTACCTACCCGCACGGCCCTGGCAGCTAGCTCTGACATTCAGGCTCTGGAGGAGGCGGGGCTCCGGGGGGAACCGAGGACCAGGTCTGGCTGAGCACCTAAGGGCCAGGCTCAGGGCAGAGCCTCAGAAACAGGCTAGTAGCCACAGCCCCCTCTCTCCTTCCACCAGGCCCTGCAGCTGAAAACAGTTATGGACCAGATAGGGACACCCAGGGGTTCTGGGGAGGCACAGACATGGGGCTCCAATCCCTCACTGCTCCCTGACTCTCCACAGGCTTTGGAGCTGGCATGCAACACCCAAAGCCAGGTGAGCCTCACCCCAGTCTTTTCTCTCCACCCCCAAAGCCTGAGCCCCCTCCCCTCATTCACACCCACACCTGGATCTGGATCCCCAGGATTTGGGAAAGGGAATGACGTTCTCTGAGCCCAGCCAGGTGATACAGGGGGTGGAAGGCAGTCTATGTCTGGGTGTCTCTTGCCTCCCTCCCTCCCGGGCCTCAGAGGGGCAGGACTGGTGAATAATTGGGGGCACTAGTTGGAAGCCTCTAGGACCCCAGCTTTCTGACTTGGCCTAAGAGGGGGCACCTTTCCCTCCACCTCAGCCAGACCCCCAGACCCTCAACTCACTCTCCCTTCCACCCAGGCCCAGCCCCCCAGAACGGCTTTGGAGCAGGTAGGAGGGAGCGGGTGGGCACCCGGGGAGGCCCTGAGAGGGGCTCTGAGTCCCTCACCTGCTGAGTCCCAATCCTTTCCAGGCTTTGGGGGAGGGATGAAGCCCCAGAAGCCAGGTGAGGCCTCAGTGATCCTGTCCCTGTTCCTGTGCCCTCTGAAGCCAGAGCCCCGCTCACACTGCTGTCCCTCCAGGCTGTGCAGCCAGCGGGGCCTTCTCTGGGGCAGAAGCCCAGGCTCCTTAGAGGGAGAGGGGTTTAGGGACTGGGGTGGGGAAGGCATGAACTAGGTGCCCTGTAGTGGGGAGATGGGGTGTTGGCCTGTGGCCTGCAGAAACCAAGTAAGGATAAGACCCCCCAAACTCTTGGCTCTTCTCTGAGGCTGCCTGACTCTATCCTGAATCTACCGCCATCCTGTCCTCATTTCTGTCAGCCTCGTTCTCACCATCCTCCTCAGCACTAATGCATGGAGTGTGTCTCACACTTCCAAGGGGGACCCTCCCTGCTTCAGGGGTGAAGGGTGTCAGGGGACCAAGGACCCAGGGAGAGAAGTGGGAGGCAAGACCAGGGGACCCCAGGGCTGGCCTCAGCCCCTCAGCCCCTCAGCCCCTCAGCCCACAGCCAGCTTGATCACCCCCACCTTCTCCCCACAGGCCCTGCAGCTCAGAATGGCCATGCACCAGGTAGGGGTGGGCCGGGGCTCTGGGAGGCACAGGAATGGGTCTGGGGTCCCTCACTGCTGCCTGTCTCTCCACAGGCTTTGGAGCAGGTGTGAAACCCCAGAAGCCAGGTGAGCCTCACCCCAGTCTTTCTCCACCCCCCCAAACCCTGAGCTCCCTCCCCTCATTCACACCCACACCTGGATCTGGATCCCCAGGATTCAGAAAAGAGAATTGGCACAGTCTCCCAGCCCAGCTAGGTGATATTAGGGGGCAAGGGACGAGGGTTAGGGTCTATGTCTGGGTACCTCCTCCCTCCCTCCCTCCCTCCCAGGCTTTGGAGGGGCAGGACTGATGAACAATTGAGGGGAATTAGTTGGAAGCCTCTAGGACCCCAGCTTTCTGACTTGGCCTAAGAGGGGGCACCTTTCCCTCCACCTCAGCCAGACCCCCAGGCCCTCAGCTCACCCTCCCTTCCCCCCAGGCCCAGCCCCGCAGAACGGCTTTGGAGCAGGTAGGAGGGAGCGGGTGGGCACCCGGGGAGGCCCTGAGAGGGGCTCTGAGTCCCTCAGCTGCTCCCACATCCTTTCCAGGCTTTGGGGGAGGCATGAAGCCCCAGAAGCCAGGTGAGGACCCCCCACACCCCGGCCTCCTCTCTGAGGCTGCCTGACTCTGTCCTGCTTCTCTGACCCTCCACACAGCGCCCCTCACGCCCCCCTGTGTTTCCTCCCCAGGATATGGTCCTGGAAATGGACTGGGAGCCCCAGCAGGTGAGGGCAGTGGGCTTGATCCTGAGGGGTTGGGGGAGGGGGGACAGGAGCAAGGACTGGCAGCCTGGCAGGGGCTGTCACTTCTCTGCCTCCCAGGCCTGGAGAGGGGTGTGCCAGTCCTGGGCCAGGGGAGGGACAGCCATCCTGTCCTCCTCATTTTTTATTGTAAATTAATCTTTATTGTTCAGATTATTACAAATGTTCCTCTTTCCCTCCACCCACCCCTAATTGCTCCCCTCCACCAGGTTCCGATTTCACCCTCTGCCCTTTTCCCACCCCACATTGTCCTCATCCATAGGTGCACAGTTTTTGTTCAGTCTCTGCCTCCCCCCGCCCCGTTTTTCCCCAGAGAATTGTCAGTCCACTCCCCTCCCATACCTCTGATTCTATTATATTCAATAGTTAATATTGTTCATCAGGTTTTTTAATTCCCTTGGCTTTTGGTTTCACTTGTTGATAGTTACGTATTTGTTGTTCATAATTTTTATCTTTATCTTCTTCCTCTTTCTAAAGAACCCCCTTCAGCAATTCATATAATTTTGGTTTGGCAGTAATGACCTCCTTTAGTTTTTTTTTTTTTTAATTTGTGAAGCTTTTTATCTGGCCTTCAATTCTGAGTGATAGCTTTGCTATGTAGAGTATTTTTGGCTGTAGGTTCTTGCCATTCATCACTTTGAATATTTCTTGCCATTCTCATCTGGCCTGCATGGTTTCTGTTGAAAAGTCAGCTGACAATTGTATAGGTGCTCCTTTATAGGTAACTACCTGCTTTTCTCTTGCTGTTTTTAATATTATCTCTTTGTCTTTTGCTCTTGGAATTTTAATTATGATGTGTCTTGATGTGGTCCTCTTTGGATTCCTTTTGTTTGGGGTTCTGTGTGCTTTCCTGTACTTGTAAGTCTATTTCTTTCACCAGGTGGGGGAAGTTTTCTGTCACTATTTCTTCCATATAGGCTTTCGGTATCTTTCTCTGTCTTTTCTTCTGGGATTCCCCATAAATTCTGATGTTGGTTTGCTTGAAGTTGTCCCAGAGGTTTCTTACACTATCTTCAACTTTCTGGATTCTCTTGTCTTCTTGCTTCTGCAGAGGAGTGTCCTCTGGCTCTTTGTGTTCCAAATCTTTGACTTGATTCTTGCGATCTTCCATTCTGTGTTTAGGACTCTGTATGATATTTTTTATTTCAGACAATGTATTCTTTATTTCTAGTTGATCCCTTTTCATATCCTCAAAGATCTTGTTTATTTTATCGACCTTTTCTAGGAAATTTTTGAAAAACCTTATAACCGTGGTTTTGGATTCTATATCCAGTCTTTTGTTCTCCATCTCTTTCTTTTGAGATCTATTTCCTTGTCTCAGCATTTTCGCTGCTTCTCTGAGTTGGTAGGGTGGCTTTGTGTGTTTGGTATCCTATATGGCCCCTCCCCAGTCACCTTTGTGTACTGCATGTACAGCCTTGTTGTAGTTAAGTCTTGATTGTTGTTGGTATCCCTGGGAGGAATTGACCTTCAGGCAATTGGATGTGGGTATCAGCTGTGTCTACTCTGGGATACCTTCTGTTTTGGAGACAGTCTTATAGGATCAGATTTGCAAAATTGCAAAAGCCTCTGTGCTTACCTTGCTGGGGCAGAGCTGACAGTCTTGGCTTCCCATCGGCCCTGCCCTTGTGCACCCCCCTGACTTTTCACCTGACCATCCTGATTCCCATGCAAGAGCGTGGGTGTCCCAGGGGCTCTCCCGGAATTGGGTTGGGTCTCTGTAGTCTGGAACTTCTGACTCCTTCCGCTATGAAGAGGCAGCGGCAACCTCCGAGGTCGGACCTCTCTGTGTGCACTCACTCACACACAACTGTAGACCCTGCCCACTGCAGCTCCCGGCTCCCCAGTCTCCCAGTCTCTGAGTCTCCAGGTGCCCTTCTCTACAGTCCAGACTGCACCTGTATGAGCCTGGGTCCATGGGGTTTCGGCCAGGGATGGGGTTCAGTGCAGTCGGAAAGGGTTCAGTGCAATCGGGGACTTCTTTTCCCCTCCCGCCAGCCATGCATTCGGCCCCACTTCCTCTCTGCACATGAGCGGCTCCCTGCCTTAGCGCTCTGTGGCTCCCAATCCCATCTGTGAACCTCTATCTTTTCTAGTTGTAGATTTCCCACTCCGCTAGCTTTTCTGTGTTTTTGGATGATGTCCGTTCTGATTTTAGTTGTTCTTCTGAAATTGTTGTGTGAGGTGGCAGCTTAGGTACTTACCTAGGGCGCCATCTTGGTTCTCTATCCTGTCCTCCTCAATTCTGTCAGCCTCGCTCTCTCACCACCTCCCTCAGCACTAAGGCATGGAGTGGGGTCTCACACCTCGAAGAAGAGGGACCCTCCCAGCTTCGGGAGTGAAGGATGTCAGGGTGTCAATGACCATGGGGAGAGAAGTGGGAGGCAAGACCAGGGGACTCCCAGAACTGGCCTCAGCCCCTCAGCCCACAGCCAGCTTGATCACCCCCACCTTCTCCCCACAGGCCCTGCAGCTCAGAATGGCCATGCACCAGGTAGGGGTGGGCCGGGGCTCTGGGAGGCACAGGGATGGGTCTGGGATCCCTCACTGCTGCCTGTCTCTCCACAGGCTTTGGAGCAGGTGTGAAACCCCAGAAGCCAGGTGAGCCTCACCCCAGTCTTTCCTCTCCACCACCCCCAAACTCTGAGCGCCCTCCCCTCATTCACACCCACACCTGGATCTGGATCCCCAGGTTACAGGAAAGGGAATAGCACAGTCTCTGAGCTCAGCCAGGTGATACTGGGGTTGGGGGAGCATCTATGTCTGGATGTCTCCTGCCTCCCTCCTGAGCCTCAGAGGGGCAGGACTGGTGAATAATTGGGGGCACTAGTTGGAAGCCTCTAGGACCCCAGCTTTCTGACTTGGCCTAAGAGGAGGCACCTTTCCCTCCACCTCAGCCAGACCCCCGGGCCCTCAACTCACCCTCCCTTCTCCTCAGGCCCAGCCCCCCAGAACGGCTTTGGAGCAGGTAGGAGGGAGCGGGTGGGCACCCGGGGAGGCCCTGAGAGGGGCTCTGAGTCCCTCAGCTGCTCCCACATCCTTTCCAGGCTTTGGGGGAGGCATGAAGCCCCAGAAGCCAGGTGAGGCCTCAGTGTTCCTGTCCCTGTTCCTGTGCCCTCTGAAGCCAGAGCCCCGCTCACACTGCTGTCCCTCCAGGCTGTGCAGCCAGTGGGGCCTTCTCTGGGGCAGGAGCCCAGGCTCCTTAGAGGGAGAGGGGCTTAGGGACTGGGGTGGGGAAGGCAGTGAACTAGGTGCCCTGAGATGGGGTGTTGGCCTGTGGCCTGCAGAAACCAAGTAAAGATAAGACCCCACACACCCTTGGCTCTTCTCTGAGGCTGCCTGAATCTCTCCTGAATCTACTGCCATCCTGTCCTCCTCATTTCTGCCAGCCTCGCTCTCACCACCCTTGTCAGCACTAATGCATGGAGCAGGGTCTCACACCTCCAGGAAGAGGGTCCCTCCCTGCTTCAAGAGTGAAGTATTTCAGGGGGCCAAGGACCATGGGGAGAGAAGTGGGAGCAAGACCAGGGGACCCCAGGGCTGGCCTCAGCCCCTCAGCCCCTCAGTCCCTCAGCCCCTCAGCCAGCTTCATCACCCCCACCTTTTCCCCACAGGCCCTGCAGCTCAGAATGGCCATGCACCAGGTAGGGGTGGGCCAGGGCTCTGGGGGGACAGGGATGGGGTCTGGGGTCTCTCACTGCTGCCTGTCTCTCCACAGGCTTTGGAGCGGGTGTGAAACCCCAGAAGCCAGGTGAGCCTCATCCCAGTCTTTCTCCACCCCCCCAAAGCCTGAGCCCCCTCTCCTCATTCACACCCACACCTGGATCTGGATCCCCAGGATTCAGGAACGGGAATGGGCACAGGATTTGAGCCCAGTAGGTTGTTACTGGGTTACAAGGTGGGTGGGTTGGGGGTTCGTTTGAGTGTCTCCTGCCTCCCTCCCGGGCCTCGGATGGGCAGGACTGGTGAATAATTGAGGGGCACTAGTTGGAAGCCTCTAGGACCTCAGCTTTCTGACTTGGCCTAAGAGGGGGCACCTTTCCCTCCACCTCAGCCAGATCCCCAGGCCCTCAGCTCACCCTTCCTTCTCCGCCAGGCCCAGCCCCGCAGAACGGCTTTGGAGCAGGTAGGAGGGGAGCGGGTGGGCATGCGGGGAGGCCCGAGAGGGGCCCTGAGTCCCTCACCTGCACCCCATCCTTTCCAGGCTTTGGGGGAGGCATGAAGCCCCAGAAGCCAGGTGAGGCCTCAGTGGTCCTTTCCCCGTTCCTGTGCCCTCTGAAGCCAGAGCCCCGCTCACACTGCTGTCCCTCCAGGCTGTGCAGCCAGCGGGGCCTTCTCTGGGGCGGGAGCCCAGGCTCCTTAGAGGGAGAGGGGGTGAGGGACTGGGGCAGGGGCTTGTTGGGGGGGAGGTAGAGAACTAGGTGCCCTGTAGTGCGGAGATGGAGGGTTGGGAGGGGCAGTGAACCCTAGAATCCAGGTGAGGGAAAGACCCCCTACACCTCTGCCTCTTCTCTGAGGCTGCCTGACTCTGTCCTGCTTCTCTGACCCCTCCACACAGCGCCCCTCACGCCCCCTTTGTTTCCTCCCCAGGATATGGTCCTGGAAACGGACTGGGGGCCCCAGCAGGTAAGCAGGTGATGGGCTTGGTCCTGAGGGGTGGGGGGAGGATAGGAGCAAGGGCTGGAGGCCTGGCAGAGGCTGTCACCTCTCTGCCTCTCAGGCCAGGAAAGGGGCGTGTCAGCCCTGTGCCAGGTGAGGAATAGCCTTCTTGTCCTCCTCATTTTTTATTTTAAATAAATCTTTATTGTTCAGATTATTATAAATGTTCCTCTTCCCTCCCCCTCCATTGCACCCCTCCACCCTCTGCCCTTTCCCCATCCCATATTGTCCTCATCCATAGGTGCACAGTTTTTGTTCAGTCTCTTTCCGCACCCCTCACTCCCCTTTTCCCCAAGAATCATCAGTCCACTCCCCTTCCATACCTCTGATTCTATTATATTCACCAGTTAATATTGTTCATCAGATTTCTTAATTCCCTTGGCTTTAGTTTCACTTGTTAATAGTTACATATTTGTTGTTCATAATTTTTATCTTTATCTTCTTCCTCTTTCTATAGAACCCCCTTCAGCAATTCATATAATTTTGGTTTGGCAGTGATGACCTCCTTTAGCTATTTATTTATTTATTTATTTATTTATTTATTAGTGAAGCTCTTTATCTGGCCTTTGATTCTGAGTGATAGCTTTGCTATGTAGAGTATTTTTGGCTGTAGGTTCTTGCCATTCATCACCTTGACTATTTCTTGCCATTCCCGTCTGGCCTGCATGATTTCTGTTGAGAAATCGGCTGACAATCGTATGGGTGCTCCTTTATAGGTAACTACCGGTTTCTCTCTTGCTGCTTTTAATATTGTCTCTTTGTCTTTTGCTCTTGGAATTTTAATTATGATGTGTCTTGATGTGGTCCTCTTTGGATTCCTTTTGTTTAGGGTTCTGTGTGCTTTCCTGTACTTGTAAGTCTATTTCTTTCACCAGGTGGGGGAAGTTTTCTGTCACTATTTCTTCCATATAGGCTTTCGGTATCTTGCTCTTTCTCTTCTTCTGGGACCCCCATAATTATAATGTTGGTTCGCTTGAAGTTGTCCCAGAGGTTTCTTACACTATCTTCAACTTTCTGGATTCTCTTCTCTTCTTGCTTCTGTGGAGGAGTTTCCTCTGGCTCTTTGTGTTTCAACATCTTTGACTTGATTCTTTGATCTTCCATTCTGTGTTTAGGACTCTGTCTAATATTTTTTATTTCAGACAATGTATTCTTTATTTCTATTTGATCTCTTTTCATATCCTCAAAGGTCTCCTTTACTTTATTGGCCTTTTCTAGGAAATTCTTGAAAAACCTTATAACTGTGGTTTTGAACTCTATATCCAGTCTTTTGTTCTCCATCTCTTTTGTTTGATATCTATTTCCTTGTCTAGGCATTTTTGCTGCTTCCCAGAGTTGGTAGGATGGGCTTTGTGTGTTTGGTGTCCTATATAGCTTGGTGGGTCCGCCTCTCCAGTTACCTGAGGTAGACACCCTTGGTGCTCCCCTTTGTGGACTCCGTGTACAGCCTTGTTGTTGTTAAGTCTTGATTGTTGTTGGTATCCCTGGGAGGAATTGACCTTCAGGCCAATTGGATGTGGATATCAGCTTGTCTGCTCTGGGATACCTTCTGTATTGGAGACAGTCTTATAGGATCAGACTTGCAAAATTGCAGAAGCCTCTGTGCTCAGCTTGGATGGGGCGAGTCTCAGGGCTGAGCTGACAGTCTTGGCTTCCCGTCAGCCCTGCCCTTGTGCGCTCACCTGAGTTTCCGCCTGACCTCTGCCTTCAGTGCCTCCCCTGACTTTCTGTCTGAACATCCTGATTCCCGTGCCAGAGTGTGGGTGCCCCAGGTGTTTGCCCGGAATTGGGTTGGTGTCTGTAGTCTGGAGCTTCTGACTCCTTCTACTACGAAGAGGCTGCAGCAACCTTCGAGGTCACAGCTCTCTGTGCACACTCAATGGCTCACGACTGTAGACCCTGCCCACTGCGGCTTCCAGCTCCCCCAGTCTCCCAGTCTCTGAGTTTCCAGGTGCCTTTATCTACAGTCCGGACTCCACCCGAATGAGTCTAGGTCCACAGGGTTTCGGCCGGGGTTGGAGTTCACTGCAGTCGGAAAGTGTTCAGTACAATTGGGGACTTCCTTTCCCCTCCTGCCAGCCAGGTATTCTGATGCCTTTCCTCTCTGTGCATGCAACACTTTACCTCAGCGCTTTTCGGCTCCCAATCCAATCTGTGAGCCTCTCTCCTTTCTAGTTGTAGATTTCCCACTACTCCAGCTTTCCTGTGTTTTTGGATGATGTACGTTCTGATTTAAGTTGTTCTTTTAAAATTGTTGCTGGGACCGGTTTGGCTCAATGGATAGAGCGTCGGCTTGGGTTCCGGGTTCGATTCCGGTCAAGGGCATGTACCTTGGTTGCGGGCATATCCCCAGTAGGGGGTGTGCAAGAAGCAGCTGATTGATGACTCTCTCTCATCGATGTTTCTAACTCTCTATCTCTCTCCCTTCCTCTCTGTATAAAATCAATAAAATGTATTTTAATAAATAAATAAATAAATAAATAAAATTGTTGTGTGAGGCAGCAGCTTAGGTGCTTACCTAGGCCATCTTGGTTCTCTCTCCTGTCCTCCTCATTTCTGTCAGCCTCGCTCTCTCACCACCTCCCTCAGCACTAATGCATGGAGCGGTTCTCACACCTCGAAGAAGAGGGACCCTCCCAGCTTCGGGAGTGAAGGATGTCAGGGTGTCAAGGACCATGGGGAGAGAAGTGGGAGGCAAGACCAGGGGACCCCAGGGCTGGCCTCAGCCCCACAGCCCACAGCCCACAGCCAGCTTCTCCCCACAGGCCCTGCAGCTCAGAATGGCCATGCACCAGGTAGGGGTGGGCCGGGGCTCTGGGGGGACAGGGATGGGTCTGGGGTCCCTCACTGCTGCCTGTCTCTCCAGCAGGCTTTGGAGCGGGTGTGAAACCCCAGAAGCCAGGTGAGCCTCACCCCAGTCTTTTCTCTCCACCCCCAAACCCTGAGGCCCCTCCCTCATTCACACCTACACCTGGATCTGGATCCCCAGGATTCGGAAAAGGGAATGGGCATAGTCTCTGAGCTCAGACAGGTGATTGGGGGATGGTAGGGAGATCTCTTGTCTTCTTCCCTCCCTTCCCAGGCCTCAGAGGGGCAGGACTGGTGAATAATTGGGAGGGCGGGGGGCACTAGTTGGAAGCCTCTAGGAACCCAGCTTTCTGACTTGGCCTAAGAGGGGACACCTTTGCCTCCACCTCAGCCAGACCCCCAGGCCCTCAGCTCACCCTCCCTTCCTCCCAGGCCCAGCCCCGCAGAACGGCTTTGGAGCAGGTAGGAGGGGAGTGGGCTTGGCCCTGAGGAGTTGGGGGAGTGGGGACAGGAGCAAGGGCTGGGGGCCTGGCAGAGGCTGTCACCACTCTGCCTCCCAGGCCTGGAAAGGGTTGTGCCAGTCCTAGGCCACGTGAGGGACAGCCATCCTGTTCTCCTCATTTCTGTCAGCCTCGCTCTCATGACCCTCCTCAGCACTAATGCATGGAGCGGTCTCACACCTCCAAGAAGAGGGACCCTCCCTTCTCCAGTGAAGGGTGTCAGGGGGCCAAAGACCATGGGGAGGCAAGTGGGAGGCAAGACCAGGGGACCCCAGGGCTGGCCTCAGCCCCTCAGCCCCTCAGCCCACAGCCAGCTTGATCTCCCCCACCTTCTCCCCACAGGCCCTGCAGCTCAGAATGGCCATGCACCAGGTAGGGGTGGGCCGGGGCTCTGGGGAGGCTCAGTGATGGGGTCTGGGGTCCCTCACTGCTGCCTGTCTCTCCCTAGGCTTTGGAGCGGGTGTGAAACCCCAGAAGCCAGGTAAGCCTCACCCCACTCTTTTCTCTCCTCCACCCCCAAACCCTAAGCCCCCTCCCCTCATTCACACCCACACCTGGATCTGGATCCCCAAGATTCAGGAAGGGGAATGGGCACAGTCTCTGAGCCCAGCCAGGTGATACTGGGGGTGGGAGGGCAGTCTATGTCTGGGTTTCTCCTGCCTCCCCCCTCCCACCTGGGCCTCGGATGGGCAGGGCTGGTGAATAATTGAGGGGGCACTAGGTTAAGGTACCAGATGTCCCGCCTTTAGCGAGACAGTCCTGATTTTGAACAATTTGTCCCGGGTTCCACGGCATTTTTAAAAAGTCCCAATTTTTGGAAAGAATACATGACAAGCTGGGGAATGACAGGAGAATGGAAAGGGAATATATGGTTTTTGGTGGCCATGTGGCTATTTAGCCAGGATACGAGTTTTATATTATTTTTGTTAATTTTATAATGTTAAACTTTAATAATAACAAATAATTGTTGAGAACTGATTATGGAGAACTGCTTATCAAAGTTCGCATTGTTGATCAGTTGTTAGAATTTGACCACCATTGTTTGGACTTAATGAACAAGGGCATTTTTTTGTTTTGGCAATGACAAAAACATTTTGTATCTGTCTCTCAGACAATACACATCGTACTGCATGCTAGTAAGCTAGTTAAACAAGTGATGTTATTACAAATCAGCTATTCAGATAATTTAGGTTATTTATTTATTTATTTCACAAATACATAAATTATCTTGAATTTAGCAGACAGTACTCGTATTATTTATATTTTATAGTGGCGGCAAAAAGTCTAGTGCCGGCCCCGACTATACATAATTTTTATTTATTTATTATATTTGTAAATTGAACTTATGTTGAAATTTTAAAAATATATTACAGTACTCTTTTTGCGTTCTATGAAAATTGTTGTTGCTCCATATGGACCAAATTTTTAATCAAGAACCCCTCCTACCCCCAGGTAATGGAGTCCCGCTTCACCAATGTTAAAATCTGGTCACCTTACACTAGTTGGAAGCCTCTAGGATCCCAGCCTCTTAGAGGGAGGGGGGTTAGGGACTGGGGCAGGGGCCTGGGGTGGGGGAGTGAAGGCCCAGAATCCAGGTGAGAGAAAGACCCCCCACACCCCGGCCTCCTCTCTGAGGCTGCCTGACTCTGTCCTGCTTCTCTGACCCTCCACACAGCGCCCCTCACGCCCCCCTGTGTTTCCTCCCCAGGATATGGTCCTGGAAATGGACTGGGAGCCCCAGCAGGTGAGGGCAGTGGGCTTTGTCCTGAGGGGTTGGGGGAGGGGGGACAGGAGCAAGGACTGGGAGCCTGGCAGGGGCTGTCACCTCTCTGCCTCCAGGCCTGGAGAGGGGTGTGCCAGTCCTGGGCCCGGGGAGGGACAGCCATCCTGTCCTCCTCATTTCTGCCAGCCTCGCTCTCACCACCCTCCTCAGCAATAATGCATGGAGCGGGTCTCACACTTTCAAGAAGGGGGACCCTCCCTGCTTTGGGAGTGAAGGGTGTCAGGGCGCCAAGTACCATGGGGAGAGAATTGGGAGGCAAGATCAGGGGACCCCAGGTCTGGCCTCAGCCCCTCAGCCCCTCAGCCCACAGCCAGCTTGATCTCCCTCACCTTCTCCCCACAGGCCCTGCAGCTCAGAATGGCCATGCACCAGGTAGGGGTGGGCCGGGGCTCTGGGGGGACAGGGATGGGGTCTGGGATCCCTCACCTGCTGCCTGTCTCTCCACAGGCTTTGGAGCGGGTGTGAAACCCCAGAAGCCAGGTGAGCCTCACCCCAGTCTTTTCTCTCCACCCCCAAACCCTGAGCTCCCTCCCCTCATTCACACCCATACCTGATCAGGATCCCCAGGTTGCAGAAAAGGGAATGGGCACAGTCTTCCAGTCCAGCCACGTGATATTAGGGGATGGGGTGAAGGTGTATGTTTTTTATTCATTCATTCATTCATTCATTCATTCAATTATTTATTGAGCAGCTAGGGAGATACAAAGGTGTTTAAAACATGGTCTAAGAGGCGAGATATATGAACAAGTCTAGAAAAGTTCACTGCATCACAGGAAAAGAAAGCTGCATTAGGAGACTAAGTGAGATTGCTTCCAGCCTGGAAGTGGGCAGGGTCTACATCTTCGTGTCTCCTGCCTCCCTCCCTCCCGGGCCTCGGAGGGGCAGGACTGGTGAATAATTGAGGGGCACTAGTTGGAAGCCTCTAGGACCCCAGCTTTCTGACTTGGCCTAAGAGGGGGCACCTTTCCCTCCACCTCAGCCAGGCCCCCGGGCCCTCAGCTCACCCTCCCTTCCCCCCAGGCCCAGCCCCGCAGAACGGCTTTGGAGCAGGTAGGAGGGAGCGGGTGGGCACCAGGGGAGGCCCTGAGAGGGGCTCCGAGTCCCTCAGCTGCTCCCACATCCTTTCCAGGCTTTGGGGGAGGCATGAAGCCCCAGAAGCCAGGTGAGGACCCCCCACACCCCGGCCTCCTCTCTGAGGCTGCCTGACTCTGTCCTGCTTCTCTGACCCCTCCACACAGCGCCCCTCACGCCCCTCTGTGCTTCCTCCCCAGGATATGGTCCTGGAAACGGACTGGGAGCCCCAGCAGGTGAGGGCAGTGGCCTTGATCCTGAGGGGCTGGGGGAGGGGGGACAGGAGCAAGGACTGGGAGCCTGGCAGGGGCTGTCACCTCTCTGCCTCCCAGGGCTGGAGAGGGGTGTGCCAGTCCTGGGCCAGGGGAGGGACAGCCATCCTGTCCTCCTCATTTCTTTCTTTCTTTTTTTTTTCTAAAGATATTACCCATCCCCCCCCGCCCCCCCCCCCCCCCGGCACTCCCATACATGCCCTCCCTCCCCAGCGTTTTTTGTCCATTGGTTATGCTTATATGCCTGCATAAAAGTCCTTAGGTTGATCTCTTCTCTCCCCCATATCTCCCTACCCTCCCTGCTGTAATTTGACAGTCTGTTTGTTTCTTTACTGTCTCTGTATCCATCTTTTTGTTCATCAGTTTATAATGTTCCTTATTATTCATTAATGAGTGAGGTCATGTGATATTTTTCTTTCATTGACTGGCTTATTTCACTCAGCATAATGTTCTCTGATTCCAACCAGGTTGCTGCAAATGATGAGAATTCCTTCTTTTTTATGGCAGCATAGTATTCCATTGTGTAGATGTACCATAGTTTTTGGATCCAATCATCTGCTGATGGGCACCTAGGCTGTTTCCAAGTCCTAGCTATTGTAGATTGTGCTGCTATGAACATAGGGCTGCATATATCCTTTCTGATTGGTGTTTCTAGTTTCCTAGGATATATTCCTAGGAGTGGGATTACTGGGTCAAATGGGAGTTCCAATTTCAATTTTTTGAGGAAACTCCATACTGTTCTCCACAGTGTGTCCTCCCCATTTCTGTCAGCCTCACTCTCTCACACCTTCCTCAGCCCTAATGTATGGAGCGGGGCCTCACAACTCGGAGAAGGGGGACCCTCCCTGCTTCTGGAGTGAAGGGTGTCAGGGTGCCAAGGACCACGGAGAGAAGTGGGAGGCAAGACCAGGGGACCCCAGGGCTGGCCTCAACCCCTCAGCCCCTCAGCCCACAGCCAGCTTGATCACCCCCACCTTCTCCCCACAGGCCCTGCAGCTCAGAATGGCCATGGACCAGGTAGGGGTGAGCTGGGGCTCTGGGAGGCACAGGGATGGGTCTGGGGTCCCTCACTGCTGCCTGTCTCTCCACAGGCTTTGGAGCGGGTATGAAACCCCAGAAGCCAGGTGAGCCTCATCCCAGTCTTTCTCCACCCCCCCAAACCCTGAGGCCCCTCCCTCATTCACACCCACACCTGGATCTGGATCCCCAGGATTCAGAAAGGGGAATTGGCACAGTCTCCCAGCCCAGCCAGGTGATATTAGGGGGCAAGGGACGAGGGTTAGGGTCTATATCTGGGTGTCTCCTGCCTCCCTCTTTCCCGGGCCTCGGAGGGGCAGGACTGGTGAATAATTGGGGGCACTAGTTGGAAGCCTCTAGGACCCCAGCTTTCTGACTTGGCCTAAGAGGGGGCACCTTTCCCTCCACCTCAGCCAGACCCCCAGGCCCTCAGCTCACCCTCCCTTCCCCCCAGGCCCAGCCCCACAGAACGGCTTTGGAGCAGGTAGGAGGGAGCGGGTGGGCACCCGGGGAGGCCCTGAGAGGGGCCTTGAGTCCCTCACCTGCACCCCATCCTTTCCAGGCTTTGGGGGAGGCATGAAGCCCCAGAAGCCAGGTGAGGACCCCCCACACCCCGGCCTCCTCTCTGAGGCTGCCTGACTCTGTCCTGCTTCTCTGACCCCTCCACACAGCGCCCCTCACACCCCCCTGTGCTTCCTCCCCAGGATATGGTCCTGGAAACGGACTGGGAGCCCCAGCAGGTGAGGGCAGTGGCCTTGATCCTGAGGGGCTGAGGTGACAGGAGCAAGGACTGGGAGCCTGGCAGAGGCTGTCACCTCTCTGCCTCCCAGGCCTGGAGAGGGGTGTGCCAGTCCTGGGCCCGGGGAGGGACAGCCATCCTGTCCTCCTCATTTCTGTCAGCCTCGCTCTCACCACCCTTCTCAGCACTAATGCATGGAGCGGGTCTCACCCCTCCAAGAAGAGGGACCCTCCCTGCTTTGGGAGTGAAGGGTGTGAGGGCACCAAGGACCATGGGGAGAGAAGTGGGAGCAAGACCAGGGGACCCCAGGGCTGGCCTCAGCCCCACTGATCACCCCCACTTTCTCCCCACAGGCCCTGCAGCTCAGAATGGCCATGCACCAGGTAGGGGTGGTCCAGGGCTCTGGGGAGGCACAGAGATGAGGTCTAGGGCCCCTCATCTGCTGCCTGTCTCCCCCAGGCTTTGGAGTGGGTATGAAGCCTCAGAAGCCAGGTGAGCCTCTCCCCTGCCTGTCTTTCATCTTTCTCTACCTCTTCAAAACTCAGAGCTCCTGGCACCTACTCACACCCCAGTTAGATATTGCTAGCTCCCCTCTCCTCCTATTCCTCCCACCCCCCTTGGCCTGGATTCCAGAATGGGCTGGGAGCCTAGTTGGGTACGACTGGTGGGGTCTAAGGTGGCCTCCGCATCTGGGTGTCCTCTCCCTCCTCCCTCCAGGCCTTTGGTGAATGATTAAAAGGTCAGGAACAACCTCCATGTTCCCTGGTTTCGGCTTGGCTCCCTGCCAGCCTTCACCCCTCCTCAGCCAGTGCCCCAAGCCTCCTGTCCATCCTTCCTGCTCCTCTGGCCCCTGCTCAGGATGGTGCGAACAGCTGGGTCCTGAGGGGCTGGGAGAGGCTGGAAAGGAGGAGAGGAGGGGCCTGTGGAGAGAGAAGGTGTCCTCACCCCGATCCAGTTCTCAGGGCCTCTCATGGGCCCCACCGGACCCGGAGCACTCAGGGTCGGCCATTGAAAGGAGGTGGCAGGAGGCAGGAGAGACCCCAGGGCTCCTGGTGCCTGAACTGGGAGGAAAGGCAGCCCAGCGGCCAGCCTCCTCCCTCTGTCCCTCTCCTGTCCCCGCAGGCCCTGCAGCTCCCATCAGCCCCGGACCAGGTAGTGGAGAGGGCCCTGGGGAGCCGCATGCTGAGTCCTAGAGGAGACGCCGTGGGTGGGCGGGGGACCTCACCTGCTCCCATCTCTTCTCTAGGCGGCGGTGAGGGCATGCAGCCTCAGAAGCCAGGTAAACCCTTTCTTTTTATCCACACTGTGATGCTGCGATTTATGGTAAGAAATATGCATTTGGCCAAAACCATTTTGGCTCAGTGGATAGAGCGTCGGCTTTCAGACTGAAAATCCCAGGTTCAATTCTGGTCAAGGGCACGTACCTTGGTTGGGGGCACATCCCCAGTAGGAGGTGTGCGGGAGGCAGCTGATCGATGTTTCTGTCTCATCAATGTTTCTAACTCTCTATCCCTCTCCCTTCCTCTCTGTAAAAGATCAATAAAATATAGAAAGAAAGAAAGAAAGAGAAAGAAAGAAAGAAAGGGAAGAAAGAAAGAAATATGCATTTGGTCTTCTCCCATTCCTGGCACAGAGTTGGCTCTCAAAAGCCTTGGAATTTGCTAAATTCTTTTGCTGTTAATGAGGCGACTTTTGGAAAGCCCCCAGGTCACCTGAGGGTGGGGACTGGTTGCCGCCTTGTGATTGGAGGGCTGCAACTTTTAATCCCTCCCCTTTACTTCCGGGAGGAGGCGGTGCTGGAGACTGAGTTCAGTCACCATCCGCCAATGACTTAACCCATCGTGCCTGTGTACTGAAGCCTCAGTAAAATCCCCAAGGACGGGGTTGGGAGAGCTTCCCTCCAGTGGGGGAAGCGGGTGGGGTGGAGAGAAGGGTGATGGGCTGGAGCCTGGGCGCTCCGAATGCCTTCTACAGACCTTACCCTGCACATTCTGCTCACCGGGCTGTTTTGGAGCTATATCCCTTCATAATATGTGGTCTGGGACCTGTTTTCCTCAGTTCTGGAAGACACTCTAGATAGAAAGTTAATTGAACCCAAAGAGGGGTCATCGGAACTTCTGACTTATATAGCTGGTGGGTCAGAAGCACAGTTGACAGCCTGGAAGAGCATCTGGCACCGGAAGTGGGAGGAGCAGTATTGTGGGACTGCGCCTGTCTCCAGAGACGGTGTCAGGATTTTAAGACACCCAGCTGGTCCCTGGAAGTCGCGGGGTGATGTTGGAAACACCCCCAGATTTAAAATTAGTGTCCGGATTGGACCCCCCTCCTCTCTACCCCCAGAAACTATCTATTCCCTCACTAACTGGTTTGGCTCAGTGGATAGAGCATCGGCTTACAGACTCGGGACTCAAGGGTCCCAGGTTCGATTCCAGTAAAGGGCATATACTTTGGTTGCAGGCACATATCCAGTAGGGAGTGTTCAGGAGGCAGCTGATTGATGATTCTAACTCTCTATCCCTCTCCCTTTCCCTCTGTAAAAAAAAAAAATCAATAGAGAATATTTTTAAAAATATTTTATTGATTTTTTACAGAGAAGATGGGAGGATAGAGAGTTAGAAACGTCCATGAGAGAAACACCGACCAGCTGCCTCTTGCACACCCCACACTGGAGATGTGCCTGCAACCAATATACATGCCCTTGATGGGAATCGAACCTGGGATCTTTCAGTCCACAGACCGACGCTCTATCCACTGAGCCAAACCGGTTTCGGCAATAAAGAATATTTTTTAAAAATAAAAATAATAAAAAAAGAAATTGTTCCCTTCATCTGTGACCCCTCAAAACTCCTGCCTGTCTCCCCCGTTTACAGAAATGTGCTGGGAGCTGGAAGGAGCCTTCCCGAGGGAAGGGGCCCAGCCGGATGAGGGAGGCAGGGCAGGCACGGAGTTCTGGGAGGCGGAGGGAAGAGGTGTCACAGGGTCCCATGGGGCAAAGAGAAGGGGCAGAATGGCGTCCACCTGTCACTCAGCCTTCATCTGTCTCTCCCCAGGCCTCGCAGGGGGCATGAGCCCTCCAAAGCCAGGTGAGCCCACCCTGCCCCCCGCCACTTCCACCTGAAGCCTCCCCCCTCCCCAGCCCAGCCCTCATGCCTGCTCTCCCTCCAGGGTACACACCGGGAAATGGGCCCCCACCTGGTGAGTACAGCGAGGGTCTCGGATCAGGTAGAGAGGGTCACCCTGGGGAGGCGCTGTCCCCTCTGAAGCTGCCTTTCTGCTTCTCCTGCAGGCCAGGAAGCGGGTGTGAAACCTCAGAAGCCAGGCAAGTGCGAAAGCCCCTGTCTCTGTCCTGTGCCTTCTCCTCTCTCTCCTTCCGGACCCCCGGGCCCTAAACACCCCTCACTCCCCTGCTTTTCCTCTCCCCAGGATATGGCAGCAGAAACGGGCTGGGCGCCCAGGCAGGTGAGGCCCCAGGGGCTGGGGGGTGGGCTGAAAGGCCTTGGGGCGAGGTGGGCAAATAGCAGAAACCGTGCCAGAGGGCTGGGTCACCTGATCCCCGGAGCAGGTTGTGAGCCACAGGAACCGGCCTTTTTCTGGCCTGGCCAACGGTCCCCCCAGAAGCTACTGTGGACTGGCCAGACCCAGGCCAGGCTGGGCCCACTGCCTCTCCCTCCTCCCTTCTAGGTCCCTGCCATGGGAAGGCTCCTCCATTGCTTCACCCCAGGCTTCCCACTCCAGGAGGCCCTGCTGATGGAGCAGGTGGCTGGGGCTCCAAGCCCCAGCCTGCTGCCCCGGGGCAGAATGGCAGGTTCCCAGGTCAGTGTGGTGTGGGTGGCAATGGGGGTATCTGGTCCCAGGAGGGGCTGGGCTGGCTGGGCTGCTCAGAAGCCCCCACGCCCGTTCTTCAGCTGAGACTGAGGCTTGTGGGCCGACTGAGGAAAAGCCTGAACTCGGGCTCTGAGACCCCTGCGACCCCCACTATGGCAGCTCCCCCGCGCCTGTCCCCCGTGGCGGGCTGGGGCGCTCCCGACCTGCCGGGCCCTGGGCTCACTCGGTCCCCTGGCTCTCCTCCCAGCACCGACGCCAGCCTTCCCGTGGGGACTGAAGCCTCAGAAAGCAGGTGTGCGTCCGCTTGCCTCTGTCCCCGTCCAGGTCAGGCTCACTCCCCATGACCCTGTTCCCAGGCCGCTCAGCTGTTCCGGCCAGGAAGGTCCCTTCCCAGTCTGCCCTCCTCCTCTCGTGCTGCTTTCTAGACGCAGTTATCCCGATTCCTCTCCCTGTGGGTAGAAGGAGTCCCTTCTTCCTCCTCAGAGTCCCTAAGATCCATCCTTGGGGAAGCGTGGGTCCTCCCCTTGACCTCGGTTCTCTCCCCAGCGTTCCGCCCCTCAAATGGCTACGGACCCGGAGCAGGACTGGGTGAGGAGGCCCTCGTCGGCATTCTTTTATTTCTATTTTTATTTCTTTATTGATTAAGGTATTATATGTGTCCTATTCTCCCATTACTCCCCCTATCCCCCCCACTCATGCCCTCACTCCCCTGTTGTCTGTGTCCATTGGTTACCCATGGTGGGCAAACTCATGCGTCCACAGAGCCACATGTCAACGGCACAACGATTGAAATTCCTTTTGAGAGCCAAATTTTTTAAACGTAAACTTCTTCTAACACCACTTCTTCCAAATAGACTCGCCCAGGCCGTGGTAGATATTTTGTGGAAGAGGCACACTCAAGGGGCCAAAGAGCTGCATGTGACTTGCGAGCCGCAGTTTGCCGACCTCGGGGCTGGGCTTATATGCATGCATGCACGTCTGAATTCTTCTTCCTCCCACCTCACACCCACCCTTGTGGCCATTTCTGACCCCATCTCTGACCCCTGTTTCCTCTCCTCTAGGCTTTGGTGGTGGCCTCAAACCTCAGACAGTTGGTGAGTTTCTCCCCCCCGCCCCCACGCCCATCCCGGGCCCTCATCTTGGGCACAACCTGGCACCTCCTTCATGATGAGCCCTCCTGGTTGCTATCTCTGTCATGTCTGTCTCTTCCCTTACTCACCCAGCTCACGTTTACTATGCTTTGGGCTGTGATGGTGGCCAGAAGCAGGCGCGATCTTATTTCAGGCGAGGGTGGGGTGACAGACGGAGGCCCGGAGGGAAGGGAGGCCGCCAGGAGGGGAGTCAGGGAAGGCTCCCGGGAGGCGAAGCAGGTTAGCTGCTGAGGGTGGGGGGATGTCACCCCTCTAGGTGACCTCCCTGTGAATCAGTCTCTCCAGAAGCTGGTCACCATAGCTTGCCCACTGCCGTCCACCCACCCCCACCCAGCCCCTCTCCATCTGTCTCCTGCAGGTCTCACTTACAGGAACCGCGGCCTGGGCGCCGGGGTCTTCACCGGGGCCCTCCTGCAGCCAGGTGCCTGGGGGGGGGGGGGGCGGGCGGCGCGGCTCCGGGAGGTTGGAGGGGCTCCTGGCTCAGGGGCTGCTCATGCCTCTGGCCTCTTCCCTCCTCAGGGTTCCCCGGGGCCGATGGCTTCAGAGACCGTGAGTTGGATGGGGGTGGGGGGGCAGAGTGCAGGCAGGGGGTGAGGGGAAGGGACCCCAAGGTCTGGTCAGGAATGAACCACATGGGCCTCGCAGGGTACGGCGAAGAAGCACTGGTGTACCCCGAAGCTGCAGCTCCAGCCTCTGAAGGAAACGGTGAGAAATGAGAGTTCAGGGAGCAGAGTGAACCCTGGCAAGGGCTGTCTGGGGGTGGGGGGCTCTGAGGCCCCGGGAGGACTGGGGCATTCTGGGTGTTCAGGACCAGTGGCCAGTGGTTCCCACAGAAGCGCTCCTCCTGCAGGTCAGACTGAGGCTTTGTGGGGCTCTCCTTGGCCCTCCCTCCAGCCTTGGGGGGCTGCCTGGAACCCCGGATATGAGGCCGGAGGTGCATATCCAGGGCTCGAAAGCCAGCCAGGTAATGGGGTGTGTGGAAGAACATTGAGGGGGTTGGAGGTGGCTGTAGGGAGCTGGTCCTGAGCCCAGGCCCACCCCATAGCCCTACGGAGATGGGGGGACATTCATGGTGGAGGAAGAATGAGGTGACGGGGATGAATGGGACTGGAGGAGGAGAGGCAGAGCAGGGGCCCTGAGCCTGGAACCTGGACTAAGAAGAGGAGGTGACAGACCAGACCAAGCAGTGCTCCTCCTTTCCGTCCCTGTCTCCAGGGCCCTATGAGCAGCTGAGGCCAGAGCCGGGCCCCGGACCCTTTGGTGAGTGGGGTTCTCCCCAGGCCTGGGATGAAGCTGGGGGGAGCTCTGGAAAGTTCTGTGACCGGGTCCCGGGCTTGATTGTACCTTAGGAGGCGCTGAGGTGCGGCGAGGCAGCAGTGGCCCGCTGGACAACGGCTATGGAGGTGAGGGGGCACATGGCCCTGTCCCCGCTCCCCATGCCACCACTGCCACCCTTTCAAAGCCCCCAGCTCCTGGGAGGGATGCCAGCTCTCAGACCCCCTAGAGTCCTCTGAGTGACCGGCCTCAGAGACCAGAGGAGGGAGGGGCTCGTTGCCCCCAGGCGGCCAGGAGGGGGCACCTCACCACAGCTCTGCCCCGCCTCTTCCCAGGCCACTGCCCTTTTGGGAAGTGCTGAGCCCCTGAGCTGATCCACGGTCATCCTGAGAGCCTCCGGACCAGAGCCCGGTCTGCTTGGCAAGGACGGCCAGGCCTTGGGCCTGGTCCCTGGCTGGGGGTCTGCTGCGGGCTGGAAGGATTAATAAAGGCGATGTGCTTCTCTGTTTGCCTGTGTGTGCCATGGCAGGGGTGAGGAGGTGGGATTGGCTGCCTGGGGTTAGAGCCCCCTGGGCCTATAGTCTCCACTTTGCACCTCATTCATTCACTCACTCACTCATTCATTCATTCATTTATTCGGCAAGCTGTGTGGCTGTGGGCTTTGCTCTGATGGGAGAGACGGAGAGAACAGAACAGACAGGCCTGCCTTTGGGGAGGGGCCATCCCTTGACAACAGTCTATTGGGGGAGCCACAGCCCTGTCAGGGAGCTTGTGTATTATTTGTGTCTTACTTTATAACAATTTATTAAACTAAAACCTCATTTTCCTTAAGGCTTGACACTGGCTTCTGAACATCATTTTACTGATTGATCGTATAATTTGGATATAAAATTCACTTTCACATTCTTTGATTGATGTTCCATTATATTATAAATCTGACAGGTTGGTGCTCTCCTAAAATATTTTACTTGCCGTACAACTCTGATTAATTCAATTCCCTTAGGTATTTCATACTATTATTTACAGATAATCTACTTGATGGAGGGTGGGGCGAATCTAATCGTAACATCTTCCTAAGCACTCCTGCAAGTTATCTCAGATTACTGAATGTTTTCAAACCTCTTACAAAGCCAGTTACTAGTCCACTATCCATGTCAGGACTACAGGATCACTTTAGTTTCTCATCTCGTGATTACACATTGACTCACCCAGGAAGGCAGCGCCAAGTTGTTCTCTGAGGCTGGGTCTGGAGTGGAGGTGGGAATCGACCCTCTATTCTGAACTTTGACCCAGTTACAGGATCAGTCTCTATGAGCCTCTGTGTTCTGAGTCTTTCCAAACCCACACCTCTTCTTGCAACCTGGTGAAGTTTTAACTGAAGAATTCAAGTTGGGCCCTGACTGGTTTGGCTCAATGGATAGAGCGTCGGCCTGTGGATTGAAAGGACCCAGGTTCGATTCCAGTCAAGGGCATGTACCTTGGTTGTGGGCACATCCCCAGTGGGGGGGTGTGCAGTAGGCAGCTGATCGATATTTTTCTCTCATCGATGTTTCTAACTCTCTATCCCTTTCCCTTCCTCTCTATAAAAATCAATAAAATATATTAATAAAAAAAATAAAAAAGAATTCAAATTGGCCCAACCAGCATGGTTCAGTGGTTGAGCATTGACTTAAGAACCAGGAGGTCACAGGTCATGACTAGATTGAGGGCTCAGTCCCCAGCGGCACCCGATCCACATCTCGCTCTCATATTGATGTTTCTGTCTCTCCTTGTCCCTTCCTCTCCCTCTAGAAATCAATAATATTTTTTAAAAGAGAAAAAAATGAATTCAAGTTGAATAGAGTTGATGGGACGTGGCACTCTAGGAGGAACTTAGTTCATCTTTACGGCCTGGTTTACGATAATTTAGGGGAGATCAAATGTTACCGCAGTATGCACAACATTTTGGGGATCAACCTTTGGGAGATTCTGTAAACATTGTTGGAATCCCAGCCTAATTTCCCTCATTTGATTTTGCTGTATTTGAGAATCATTATAGACTTTTGCTTTTTCACAGAACTACTGATTCTTTAAAATACCCAAAATGTCTCCTCATATATCTCTCTTCCCTGAGGTATGGAATAAACCACATCATCTCTTTCCTGGAGAAGAGGATTAGGAGCACCTGGGCACAGGGCCACTGAGCAGGCTGTCTCGGAGGGCAGTACCCACCTAGAAATGTCCTAATATTATAAAGGTTTCTATATAAGTAAATTGACCATTCTTTTCTTTAAATGATTTTCACCCATGTCATCTACTATTCTTAGCAATATTAACAAATGCTAAATGTCAATCAAGCTTTGCTACTGTATTAATATAGTTTTAATTTTAAAAAAATCCTCACCAGAGGATATGTTTTTCATTGATTCCAGAAAGAGAGGAAAGGAGGAAAGAGAGAGATTTGACTGCCTCCTATATGCATCCGACTAGGGATCAAACCCACAACCTGGGTGTATGCCCTGATCAGGAATTGGACCCTATGTGGTGGATGCTCTAACGGAAATCTAATCAGTAACATCTTCCTAAGCCATACCGGCCGGGACAGAATTAATATGCCTTTATCTTTCCTATAAAATAACTTAATGGAAATCTCCGAAGATCTTGACCCGCATGCTGGCAATCAGTCCGGCATTACTCAGAACGTAACCAAAAAGAGGAGAGCCACCCACTCTCCGCATGGGCAGCTGCAGGTGGGTGGACGGTGCGGGGCAAGGGGCTCGCAGCGGCTCAGTGGTCCCTCGGGCCAGGCGGGGGCGCCCGGCGTGCGTGTGCAGCGCCTGCGGTCAGGGAAAGTAGGCGGAGCGCGCGGCGCCGGGAGACACAGTGATTGGCTGGACCGGAGAGAGCGCTGCTGCCTCTGATTGGCTGCCAGGGATATTAGTGCCCTCGGGGAGAAGATGCGTAGCCCGGCGGGACACTCTCTCTTGATTGGCTGGGACGCACCGGTGCCCGGCTCTGATTGGCCAGGGAGTCCCCCATACACTCCAGCCGGAGGGAAGAAGCGCGCACGGGCTGCCAGAGCGGCGCCCCGGCACAGCGGACAACCATCAAGCTGGCGACGCGGTTCTCTCGCTCCCGCTCGCACCCGCGGCTCGCCCGCGCCCGCTCACGGCCGGGCCGGGCCCGCGCGTCGCTCTCGCTGTCCCCGCCGCCGATCCTGCCTCACCCGCCGCTGCCTGGCCTTCCTCCCGACCTCCTGCCCGGGCCGCCGCCGTCCAAGGCGCTCGCCCTGGCCCAGCTGCCCGCGCTGCCCTCGCTCCCGCTGCGGCCCGAGCCGCTGGCGCCCTGGGGCCCCGGCGCGCACCTGGCGCTGCCCGAGCTGCCGCCCGAGGCTTGCGTCCCGGCGCCGCCCGCCGCCGCGCTGGCCCTGCAGCATCTGCCCCGCCTGCCCGCGCCCGCGCCGCGCTCCGGCCACCTGCCGCTGCCGCCGCTCCCGGAGACGGCCATCGCCGCCACGCCCGGGCCCGTGGGCGCGCGCGGCCGCCCGCCGCTCATAGAGGAGGCGCCCCCGCAGCCGCTGCCGCCGCTGCCCGCGCGGCCCTCGCCCTTCAACCTGCTGGCGCCGCCCGCTCCCCGCGAGTCCTGGCCGCTGCACCCCTTCCCCCCGCTGCACCCCTTCCCCCCGCCGCTGCCGCCGCCGCTGCCGCCGCCGCACTGGTTCCTGCTGCCGCCCTACTGACCGCCCGGCCCGGCCCGCCGGCGGACGCGTGGGTACACACCCTCCCTGGACCCAGGGCCGCGCTCCTCGCCGCCTCCCACACGGGCAGAGTCAGGATGCGTGTGTCAGCGCCCAGGCTGGAGAAGAGGGGAGCGCCAGCGGAGAAGCCCGGGTTTGGGGGGGAGAAAGCAGCGTGTCTGAAAATAAAGTCATTTTTTCCATCTTCTCTTCCTACTCCACAGCAAGCCTCTTGCCTGGTTATTTGAGAATGTAACTCACTCCCTGAGCTGATAAGCTGGCTGGGGATCAGGGCGAGTGGGTCTCGGCGCCCACAGCACGTGGTTTGAGGAATGAAACAAAAGTTTAAAATGCTTTAGTAAGGTACTTAAAATGTTTCATTTTTTTCTTTCTTTTTAGCTGCAAAAAGCTTTTTTGTTTGTTTGTTTGTTTGTTTCCATTTGGTCCAATGCATGGGAGAGGGATCCAGGGTGGTTAAAAGGATGCTTGGAGGTTTCAGAGAGTGGCTCAGGCAAAAGACACCAGGGGAATGCAGAGGGCCCCAAAAGTTCCTAGTGATGCTTGAGGGGGAGCCTTTTGAAGAGATACTTCCTCAACCCAGCCTGGGGACCAGCCGGCCTGTGGAGTCAGTGAGGTGGTCACCCATCTTGGTGAGTTCCACCTCCTCATCCAGGAGGTGGTTCTCCAAGAAGTCACAGAGATGAGGGTCTGTGCAGGTAAAATGCAGGACATGCAGATCCAAAGAGCTTGGTTTGGGTTCTCCAAAACCACGGTGGCTCCCATGGCATCCCGAGTTTTGCCCATCATCTTGGGAAGGCTTCAGCACCTCCTAGAAGATAACTCAGCAACTGTACTGGTTTTGCATCTTCTAAGAGACCCTCTCACCCTAGCCGGTTTGGCTCAGTGGCTAGAGCATAGGCCCGAGGACTGAAAGGTCCCGGGTTTGACTCGAGTCAAGAGCATGTACCTTGGTTGCAGGCTCGGTCCCTGGCCTTGGTTGGGGTGTGTGCCAGAGGCAACTAATCCATGTGTCTCTCTCATATCAATGTTTCTCTCTGTCTCTCCCCCTTCCCTTCCATTCTGAAAATCAATGGAAAAATATCCTCGGGTGAGAATTAACAAACAAACAAAAAAAGAAAGGTCCCAGGTTTGATCCTCGTCAGGGCCATGTACCTGAGTTGTAGGCTTCATTCCGTGTAGGAGGCCACCCATCGATGTGTCTCATTGATGTTTCCTCTTTCTCTCTTAAAAAAAAAAAAAAAAAAAAAAAAATCAATGAAAAAATATCCTCGGGTGAGGATGAACAACAACAAAACATTAGTTTGATTAGTTTGTTTGTTTTTTTAAAGACACCCTTGAGCCGAAACTGGTTTGGCTCGGTGGATGGAACATCAGTCTGCGGACTGGAGGGTCCTGGGTTCGATTCTGGTCAAGGGCATGTGCATTGGTTGCGGGCACATCCCCGGTAGGGGGTGTGCAGGAGGCAGCTGGTCAATGTTTCTCTCTCATCAATGTTTCTAGCTCTCTATCCCTCTCCCTTCCTCTCTGTAAAAAATCAATAAAATATATTTTTTAAAAATATTCTTCTCCTCAGCCAACCCACAACTCAGGGGAGGAGGCCCACCCCTTCAAAGCCACACTGTCTGGTGAAATAGAGCCCAGGGAGAGGTAGGTGTGGGAGGCCCACAGACGCAGGTTGGCTGCAGCCTTTACCTCGGTAGAATAATTCTGACCATGGGAGCTCATGGCTGTTCAGCAATAGGCAAAAAATGGTGCTGGCTGGTCTGGT